AAAAAAAAAAAGTTCTAAGAACTTCAATCTTCAATTTACTAAAGGTGTTGATCACCATACCTTAGAAAATTAAAAAGGAAGACCATCACATGCTCAAATATTGTTGCTTTCAGCTCTTAGGTGGGAATTTCCCCTCATTCCTTAGCAGCTGATTTATCTCTTTATCTCCGTCACCTGCCTATGTTACAACTAGTAGAGCAGAGTTCCAAGCTGTTTATTTAGATAAGCATCAAAGTTTGGGACGCTGATCTGTACTCAAGAGACCTTTGATCCTGTGCACCTTGATTTGGAAATCAAATTGGAACTCTAACAAGAAAGATTTGTCTCTTCCGCTACTTTCTGGTCTCAGCAAGGCCGGAAATACCAAGAGCCGGCTTCGTGGTAGTTTAGAACTTCCGCTTCCTGTTGTGGACGAAAGAAGTAGACACACATACAAACGTGAACCAAAACATACAGTGACCTTTTGCAATCCACCACAACATCCAGGTTAAATTTTGTTCAAATATTGCCTGTTTACTTAACCAGTCAGTGTAAGCTTATGTGGCACCATGTCAAACCAAAACAAAGTCCGTGGAAGACTTTCAGGTCACCATGCACTGATTGCTTTGCTGGGGATCTTGAAAAAGAGCGAGAAACATTCTCTAGGAGTGGCATCTGGAAAGCCAGTATGATGTGTGAGCCAGATGATCAGTTACCAGCTTAGATGGCAATAAAGCTTGCTTAGTTCTCAATTCCTCCAGGCAGTGGTTCTCAAACTTTGTGTGCAGCCTAATGGCATGGAGGGCTGGTTAAAATGCAAATTACTGGGTCCATCCCACCCAGACCACGGTTTCTGATTCACTAAGTCTGGGGTAGAGTCAGAGAATTTGTGATTGTAACACATTACCTGGTAATGCTGATTCTGCTGACCTGAGGATCACACTTGGAGACCCACTGCTTTAAATGATTTTACCTGTGAAAATGGGGGAAATCCTTAAACCTTAGCAAATGTTGGGGTTTCATTTTAAAGAGGAAGTGAGACAGGAGCACATGGTTTAGAATCAGCCGTACTTGTGATTTGAATCTGGACTTGTCCAAAGCTGTGAGTCCTGGCAAATTACCTAACTCTCTGAACCATACTTTCCTTATCTGTAAAATGGAGAAAATAATCATAACCTGTATCTGAGAACCAAATGAGATACTGGATGTAAGGTGTCTGGTACATGGTATTCTATAAATGGTTATTTTTATTTAAAAAATTACAGATAATCTTAGTAAATAAACAAACACACATTCAGATGCAGGCAATAATCTCTGAGATCTAAGCACAGGAGAAACTTTGGTCAGGATACAATATGGGTTTGTATTGGATTCAGATTCAATAAAAAGAAATTGGTACAGTTTAAAGAACAATCTTGTTCCTTTAAAATAAAAATCTCTCATAGGATTCCTGGTGCTTTCTTGAAAACTATCACTAATTCCTATTTCTTTATTGCCATCTTAAACTCATTCTAACATTTATTTCTTTATTCTGTCTCTTGCTGATATATTTCTCTACTCTGCTGTTATACAGAAAGAAAGAAAGAAAGAAAGAAAGAAAGAAAGAAAGAAAGAAAGAAAGAAAGAAAGAAAGAAGAAAGAAAAGAAAGAAAGAAAGAGAGAGAGAGAAAGAAAGAAAGAAAAAGAAAGAAGGAAAGGAAGGAAAAAGGAAAGGAAGGAGGAAGGGAGGGAGAAAGGGAGGAAGGGAGGGAAGGAGGGAGGAAGGAAGGAAGGAAGGAAGAGATTCTTTTTTCTAATATGGAAAATTCTAGGGGCTCTAAACTCCTATGTAGTGGAGTTAACGCTCCAGTTACCAAATCAGAGTCTGAGCATAAGGGGATAATTAACAAACTGAAGAAACTGAAGAAAATTAACAACATATGTTAATGAACTAATCTAGTGACATTAAAATTAATTTATACTGCCCAGTTTCCATGTCAATGAGGCATCTGTGCACTTCGATCAAAGTGATAGTATATTATATCCAAAAGCAAAGGGAGAGCCAGAAGCTCCCCACTGCTTTCAATGACTAAAAGTGGGCTCAACCCAAAGTTAGATAAAAAGGAATGGTTCATGCATTTATTAGGTCTATATTCATTGTGAACTTACTGTGGTCTCTCTGTGATGTGGGGAATATACTTATGAGTAAGAGACACCCAGGTGCTCACCTCATAGAGGTTATAGTCTAAATGTTAATCAAATCAGCACACAAATACATAAAAAAGAGAAACAGTGATGTGATTGGTGCAATGGACCAAAAATATGGTCTAAACCATACAGTGATGATGGGTTTGGGGCAGCACAGATGAGAGCCTGCAGGAGCTCGCAGAGCCTGTGCGAAGTCGTAAAGTAACAGGAGCATGATGGTACATGTGAAAGTATGAAAGGAGACCAGAGAGGCTGGAGGGGAGAGCTAAGGCTACGCCAGGACCGTGAGGTGCCTTGCAGGCCAGGCAAGTAGGTCTTCATCCTAGGAACAGTGGGAAGCCCCCAAAACGGTTTTAATCACGGAACTGGCATAATCTAATTAACATTTGCAGATCACTTGGGGTTCAGGGTGTTAAATAGGTTACCAGATGTGGGGTCATGGGGCTGAGGAAGGGGGACTCAGTGGCAAAGGGGTGGTAGTGGAAAGAGTCAGTGTGGTTTGGGACACTACCGGGACAGCCCACATGAGAGAGAAATGATGGTAGATTGGACTTTGTGGTGATGGAATAGTTAGTTATTCTTTGTAACATTCTTTTGTGGAAATTTGTGCAAAGAAGAAAAAAAAAAAAGCCATTTCTCCAGGGAGTCCAGGTATCGATGTGTCTACAAGCCTCCAGAGGGACCACATGCTCATTCAAAGTCCCCTCAATACCCTGACAGGACTTCCATGTGGTTCTAATTCACACTGTCACATGACCAGTGACCAGTGTCACTTAATGAGTGACACTTCGTTTTATTTCAGAGTTATTGGATAGATTGCCCAATACCCATCACCTCAGTGCTTGAAGTCACCATTTGCATTTCCTCTTTTGTGTGGTAAAGGTTTATAATTTTTCAGGAACCCCTTGGAATCAGTGCCTCCCAGAGGAAAAATTTAATTTGCTTTCTGGTTAAGCCACCAGTAAGGATTAGATACACACGAACTGAAAATGAGCTTCTGGAAAAATAGGGCTGAAGGGCTTCCTTAGTAGGCCTTAGGAGATGACAGAAGAGGAAGGAGTGTTGAAGCAGAGGGCAGAAAGAGAGGACGGGACACTAAAAAAACTTGTCTCCTTTCTCAAGTTTGCTGGGGCCAACCTTATAAATGAGGAGCTACGGCAGGCTGTTACAGAAAGGAGGCTACCATTTTCAGTTGCTTTTACACAATACCCTCCCTCTAGAGAGTATCAACCAGGAATGAGGATGAATTCCAGCACATATTTTCTTATTGTACCCTTCCTGATTGGAAATGAACCCTGTAAAGGCAGAGAGCTGTGTCTGTGAACATAGACTTCCTGTCCATCACAGCTCAGGAAATCACTACTTCTCCATTCCCATCCATTTTTGTGCGGAGGTCATGTTGAATGCAGGTGTTCAATATTTGCCATAGAATCCTTCCTTTGTCCTATACATTGAATAGAGTATATATATTTCCATATTATTGAAGAGAGTGTACATAAAATGCTCAGCACAGTGCTTGCCTTATTACAGGTAGCTCTAGGAGTTTCAGACTTTTATTATTTAATCAATGAAAATGAGTGGTTGAGGATTAATAAATAAGATTACCTTTTCCTAGGCCTTGCTGATTCAAACACAATCCAGAGTGAAAAAACAATGGAAGACTTCACTATAGGAAACAAACTGAGGGCTGCTGGAGGGAAAGTGAGTTGGGGGATGGGGTAACAGGGTGATGGGCATTAAGGAGGGCACATGATGTGATGAGAACTGAGACTTACACGAAACTGATAAATTATTGAACACTACATCTGAAACTAATGATGTACTATAAGTTGGTTAATTGAATTTAAATTAAAAAAAAAACAATGGAAGAAGGTTGATATACCTACTGTTAACTTACAAGGTCTGTGTCAACCCTTTTGATTACCTCAAGAAAGTCCAGTTCCGTTAAACCACACTTCACCATCTTCTCATCATCTTCAGTGACAACATTAGAGTATTCAATGGATGCTACAGAACTGTACTGAAAGTTGGGAAAATAGAGTGCTTGCCATTAAAACAGTGTGCATCAATATTTGGCCTTAGCTTTCACTGCTGTTAACAGTAGTTTCTAAGATAAATTGAGCTTTCTATAAAAATAAATCCATGTTAGAAATCATAATTCATACCAGACTCAGGAAAAAAGAGCGTTGCTGAAAAAACACAGTTGAAATGGTATTCTTGCCAGAAGCCATATACCATTCTGCGATTTATTTCCTTTTTAGTGGAAGGACTTCAAAGCCATAAGTATACACATATGCTACAAGTATGTCTAAAATCTAAATGTAGGAACCTCTGAACCAACTTCCACATGATACAATTAGCAATTCTATCATTTATACCATGAGATAATATTGAAATGAGGAGATGTAGAGATTGAGAGATGACATAAAGGACCCAAACAAAGAATAGTAAGGTTTGGGAGAGAGAGCCTTTCTACAATACCAAGGTCATCAATAATCCCCCATCACCTTTAGGATACAATCTGAGTTTCTTTATATGTCCTGCAACTTCCTTCCAGATCTGATCCTTTGAAAACTCACAAATCAGTATATATTTGGAGTAACTCTTTCCAAAGCAAAGAGAAGCACGTAGAGTCGTAATCTAAAAAAGAAAACACAGCTCTGAGAGATGGTAGAGGTGATGTTCTAGTGTCCATTCTGCTGCCAACCATGCTCAAGCTACTTTTCGTCATCTGTGAACCTGGGGGAGAAGCAAAGGGACAGCTGAAATCAGTCATGTGGTCTAACAGTTTACCAATTCACTTGAATTTCTACTTTATCGTCAGAATTGCTGGGCACGTCCGCGAGGCTTATGACTGGTCTGTTTCTCCTCTTATTCTTTCTTTCCGAACTGTGTCATTGATTAACATAAATTTAAGAAGTAATTGCTAATAGTTTGAATACGGATATCTTTTTAAAGTGTTAAAAGGACTTACTGATAGTGGAAGGCAAGCAGTGAAACTCATGCGTTTATTGATTTTATTGCAATGTACAAGTTTTTTAAACTCCAAATTTAGTACTTTACCAATCTGTTTCCTTTAACATTCCTTTGAGAATGATCCTTTAACTTTCAACTGGGTTGCAAAAAGATTGTTTTTGTAATATATCACACTGAAGCAATTCAAGTTTATGCTAATTCTAAAATCTAAGGAAACCCTCCTTAGAGCCATTCATCAGAGGATATTTTTGGTGTCTTTCACAGTGATATTAAGAATTTTTTAGTATGCAAGTTTTCCCAAAGGTTTTTCAAAATAAGCATGTTTCTAAATAGGGTTTTAAAAGAAATCTAACAAAAGCAAAGATAGTATGGTGGCGGCTGCTTAGAAAAGGAAAAAAAAAAAAACAACCCTTATCATTGGTCTACAAAGATTTCTTATAAGAAGCCCATGGTGCTTAAATAAAATTCTAAAATACGTATCAAGGTTTCGATACAATAATACAAATTAGTAGGTTATAAAGTACACAAATATAAAGTGACTGGCCCAAAACATGTAACACCATCTTACCACTAACTACTCTAAATTTCATCTAAAACAATCCCACCCCCAGAAATCAAGTATAATCCTGTGTAGATACACTTTTATGCATTTCTAAAATCTGAATTCTGCCAGGAGCCAGCTTCCTGGGAGTCTTCTCTCGGCTTTCTCCTTAACATCTCCCCAGCCTAGCTCCCCTCCTGCCTAGCGTCTCCCCCCTGTGTTCCAGAAGAGCCCCAGGGTGCCGCTCACCTCCTGTGGAGGCACCCAGGCGAAATTCTGAGACTGGAGCAGTGACATTCCAATCAACTGCACGCATCATCAAGGCACTGGTGATGGAATTTTCAAGTATGTGGCTGAGCTGCGTTCTGGTGGAAAAGGAAAGAGACCTGATTTCAAGTGTAATAATTAGGATTTGCACTCTTGGGAAAAAAAGCATTAGTCAGAATCTCACCGTCACTCAAACAGGTGCTGCAGGATCTAGAGAAGTTTGTGTCACATGAGAGTGACAGAGATAAGATGTTACTATAAAACTGCCTCCCAGAGAGCTGAGGAGACTTCTGTCTGGCCTGCTAGGCTCAGGGAAACTGGCAAAGCCCGAAGCCCATCTGGATCTATATCAGAAGACAGGAAAACAAAACAGATGAGGGAAGGATACAAGGTGAAGGATTCAAGAGAGCCTGTGCGAACTGAGTTCATGGCACAGATTTTAGTAGGAGAGAGACCTAGGAGAGAAAATTTGAAGAGGTTCACTATGCTAAGGATGAGATCTCTCCCAGAACTTTTTGGGGGACATTGCAATCAATATGTAGTTTCTCTTTAATTAACTTTCACTGCCTGGTCAATATTGTTTGTTTGTTTGTTTTAAGATTTTATTTATTTATTTGACAGAGAGAGAGAGCGAGAGCAGGAACACAAGCAGGGGGAGTGGGAGAGGGAGAAGCAGGCTTCCCGCGGAGCGGGGAGCCCAATGTGGGGCTCTATCCCAGGACCCTGGGAATATGACCTGAGCCGAAGGCAGACGCTTAACAACTGAGCCACCCACGCGCCCCTGCCTGGTCGATATTGTTTTGAGTGTGACACCATCTGTAAGGGTTCTGTTAATCCCTCAGGTATAACTAGTAGTCAACCTTTCCAAGATGAGGGTACTTCACTCCTGAAGGTCCTCAGAAAGAGTTCTAATCACTCTGCTTAGCACTGCATGATCTGACCCCTACCTTGGTTCAGTCACATCTCCTTCCATCACCCAAAATCTATGCTCCAGCCACATATAAAATGGATTGTTCCCAAAATGCACTGCTGTAATATTGTGCCTTATAATAAGAAATACATATTTGGTCTTTCTCTTGTTGCTGGCACAAAGCTCCTAAAACCATTTAAGTTTCCTAAGTGTTGACAGAGGTAAAGAGGTCTTTTGTTATGTTAATAAGATGACTTTTATTAACCTAAGTTTGGAGGTGGGCTGGCTGCCTGGGGATAGAGGGTTGGAATTTTCAATTCCACCTTTGGGGAGCGGAGAGGAGCTGAAAGTTGAGTCAATCACCAATGGCCAATGATTTAATCAGTTGTGCCTATGAAATGAAGCCTCCATAAAATTCCAAAAGGACAGGCTTCAGAGAGCTTCTGGGCTGGTGAGCATTTGGAAATGTGGGGAGAGTTGCTTGCTTAGAGAGAAGAGGAGCTCTGCGTACCTTCCCACATCCCTTGCCCTATGCATCTCTTCCAACTGGCTGTTCCTGAGTTGTATCCTTTTATGATAAACTGGTGATCTAGTAAGTAGAATGTTTCTCTGAGTTCTGGGAGCCACTTTAGCAAATGAATCAAACCCTAGGAGGGGGTTATGGGAGCATCTGATCTTTAGCCAGTTGGTCAGAAGCACAGGGAACAATCTGACTTTGTGACTGGCTAAAGTGTTGAGGCAGTCTTTGAGGCTGAGTCCTTAAATTGTGGGAGCTGATGCTAGGCAGTCTTTGAGGCTGAGTCCTTAAATTGTGGGAGCTGATGCTATCTCTGGGTAGATAGTGTCAGAATTGAGTTGAATTGTAGGACACCCAGCTGGTGTCAGAGAATCACTTGGTGGTGTGAACACATGCACACACACATTGTGATCTCATAGGTCTTCAGACTTTCACACTTGCTTCTGCTCCCTGAGCTTGAAATGCATTCCTACCCCATTCATCCACCCATACAACAAGTATTTGTTGAGCACCTACTATGTGTTAAGTACTGTTCTAGGCACTGAGTGACCAAAATGGTGAACAACAACTACAAGAACAATAACAAAGCAGTGAACAAAACACACAAAAAGCTGCTACCTACTTGGGTTGCACATTCCCTTGGGTGACTCTTCATGCCATTCAAAATATACTCCAAAATTAATGAGATGTAGTGTGTGGACCTTTCTGAATCTCGAAAAAAAATCTTGAGACAGATGAAATTTGAATCTGAGTGGATATTTGAAAATATTAAGAAATTATTATTGATTTTTAGGTGAGACACTAGGATTGTAGTTACGACTTTTTAAATAAAAACAAGAATCTTTGTCTCTTGGAGATACATACCAAAATATTTATGGATACAATAATATGAGGTCTGGAATTGGTTTCAAAATAGTCCATTGAGGGCTTGGGGGCAGTGAGGAGAGTACGGATGAAACAAAATTGCCACTTGTAAATAGTTGTTAAATCATCTCTCTACTTTGGTATATGTTTGAAATTTTCCATCTCACAAAGTTTTTAAAAAGGAAGAAAAAAAAGTAAAGAACCATTGGGCTTCCTGCCCCCCTACAAGCCTTCCCTGGGGCTCCAATCCCAGCTCTATTTCCTGAAAGCCAAGGGCCCCTTTGCTCTCCTAGTCACTTGGGTCCCCTTATCATTACACCATTTCATGACTGTCACCTCGTGTATCATTCCCATGGGACAGTCAGCCAGTTGAGGACAGGGACTGACTGTGTCTTTCTAATCATTCTCTTTCATTAGCTCCAGCTATAATGCCCAGCAGAAAAATAGACACTGGGCATCATCTCTGCAAATGAAAAGCCAAAGGCTATAATAATCAGATTTTAATGAAGGTGACATTGGTTTCAAGGGAACAGAAACTTGGTAGCTGTCTTCTGTACTACGGAAAATGATCTGGCAGATGTGATTCCATTCACTCAACACATATTTTTTGAGTCCCCCCAATGTGTGAAAGATACTGCGGCTGGGGACCAAATACTCCCTGTTAACAACTGTCTTTTTTTCTTCGGAGTATCCATGAAAGACTTCGGGGGAGGCAGCTGTGCCCAGGCACACATGTGCACACACACACAGTGAGTTGTTTTCTCATTGTTGGTCCCTTCAGGATCTAGTTGAAGCAAGCAAACAAGCAACAAAGTTAGCATCCCTGTAACAGGATCTAGCATCTCGGCTTGTTTTCTGTACTGTTTTCATGAGCAACGTAAGATTCTTTGTCATTTAAAATGGGTGCTAGCCCTCTTCAATAAAAGCTAAGCTGAAAATAAAAACAACTTCACTTTTTCCTCTGAGACTTATTTTCTTTCTAAAAAATTAAAAGATAAAATATATATGTAAATTATTTATTCTACTAATAATATGAAACTTGCTAAGTCCTACAGATTTCAGTAAGTAGGGAAGGTTAAGAGTCACTGATTCCCAACCTCTCCCAATTCCAAATTAAGCACAAATACTAAAATCAGTGTTGTGATAAGGTGAGATGGATAATGCACTCTAGCTTTGAGATATTCCTCTCTTCTAGGGAGATTACTTGCCTCAAGTTGAGTAAAACTACATCACCTGCCAAGAAAAATTCACATCAAATAGAGTACTTTGAAAGAATATACATTTAACTAATCCACTTTACTCTTTTACCATATCTTTGTACTTAACTTTGTTAAGTGCTTGAGGTGTGTCAACATTTCAAAACCTGTGATCATCTTGCTCAATGATGGCATAGTCTGACAGCTTTTTTTTAATTGTTTAAAAATTTTAAAAATTTTTTATTTTGTTTTATTTTTTTTAGAGAGAGAGTGTGAGAGGGGAGGGGAGGGAGGAGCAGAGGGAGAGGAAGAGAGAGAATCTTAAGCAGGCTCCATGCTAAGCGTGGAGCCAGGGTGGGGGGCTCAGTTTCACAACCCTGAGATCATGACCTGAGCCCAAATCAAGAGTCAGTCGCTTAACCGACTGAGCCACTAGGCGCCCCCAGAGATTTTCTTAATACAATTAATTCCATCAATTCTGAGATAAAATATACTTTGCAAAAGCTACTAATAGTGCACAGAGTGTTACAAAACAGAAGCCAGGATCACTGTTGCAAATTCTCTGACACACCTGTACTAAGCCAACTTATCATGGTGTACACCATCATAGGATCCCACAGGGCATGCACCTCAAAGAAGCTGACCACATTTTAGCTGAATGAGCAAGTGAATGAATCTCATAAGTTTGGACTAAGGAAGCAGGGTCATATATTAAAAGTCCATGTTAGAGAAGAATACACATACATATAGTTACCATTCTAAGAACATACTAAAGTCAAATATTATATCTTGATAAAAGATTTTAGAGAAACTCCTTTAATAATAGCCAATTATCTGAATATATTTTGACCAATTATCTGAATATAAATAATTTTTAAATAAATATTTAAAAACAAATAATATTTTTAAATATTCAAGTGTGTTTAAAATATTTATGTATATTAACTTATAGTAGTAAGTTTCACCTACAAAGAAATATTTTATTAAATCAAGAGAAGTGCCTACCTATTCCTGACTTTCAATGTTTTCTAGTATGAGGGACAGCACCCAGTTGCCGACACCAGAAACCTGCCTTGAACTCTATTTTGGATTCTCCCTTTCTCCTAGCCTCATCTACCTGATTACCAAAGTGCATTTTGTCTATTATCTAAATTTTCTCTTGTCTGCCTGAGAAATTCCCACTTTCCCTCACACCTGAGCCACACCTGACTCTGCCAAGCTGACTTAGAACTTCCTAACAACTCATATATACTTCAATCAAATTTCTAGTACAGTATATTCTTATATTTTCATGATTTGAACCTATCCTCCCTTAAGAATGGGATGGATTAGGTAGGGGCGCCTGGGTGGCTCAGTCAGTTAAGGGTTCTGGGATCAAGCCCTGAGTCAGGATCCCTGCTTCTCCCTCTCCCTCTGCCTCTCTCCCCAGCTTGTGCTCTCTCTCTCAAATAAAATCTGAAAGAAAGAAAGAAAGAAAGAAAGAAAGAAAGAAAGAAAGAAAGAAAGAAAGAAAGAAGAAAGAAAGAAAGGAAGGAAGGAAGGAAGGAAGGAAGGAAGGAAGAAAGAAAGAAAGAAAGAAAGAAAGAAAGAAAGAAAGAAAGAAAGAAAGAAAGAAAGAAAGAAAGAAAGGTGGATCAGAGCCAGTTCAGGCTAGGTAGGACTGATGGGGCAAACCAATATCCACAAGAGGGAGCCATAAATCAGGAATCAGAGATCAGAAACCAGCCCTCCAATCAAGGGATCAGGTTAAAATGGTACCTAGAAGACAAAGCTAAGATGTAGGAAATGGAGGAGAGAATAGAAATGAGAGCAAGTTAGTAAAAGGAAGAGGGTCCAGAAAGATTGCCACAAACGTGGGTGGGTCATTTACCTGAGAGAGTTATGGTCCATGGGAATATTAAGCTGTTTAACAGAACCAAGTCAAGGCAATCTGGAATGTTCCATTTATGCACCAAATGAATGCTAAGCTATTGGGAGGGCAGTGGTCTGAGCTCCTCTCCCAGGTAAGTGGAAATGAGGGCTTTGGTTCAGCTGGGATTCCAAAGCTGAAGGATATGAAAGAGTCTGTAGGTGAGCTGGTTGCTGTGGGGTGAGAGTAGAGGGTAACTGAATCTATGGCTCAGGACCCAAAAAGAGGGTGGAAGGAGCCACAGAGACTCCCGAGTTCTTATTCGTTTATTCAATAAATATGTATTAAGGCCTAACATGGGCCAAGGGCTGTGCCCGTGTCTTAGTCAGCCCAAGCTGCCATAACAAAATCCCATAGACTGGGTGGCTTAAAGAGCAGGCATTTATTTCTTCCAGTCCTGGAGACCCGAAGTCCAAGATCAAAGTGCCAGCAGGGTGGTGTCTGGCCAGCGCTCCCTCCTTGGGTTGCAGATGTGCATCTTTTCACTGTACCTCCACAGGGCCTCTCTTCAGTGTGTGCAGGGGGAGAGAGCCAGAGCAAGTTCTCTGGTATCTCTTTCTATATGGGCACTAATTCCATCATGAGGGCCCCACCCTCATGATCTCATCTAAACCCATTTATCTCCAAAGCTCCCATCTCTAACTACCAACCCCTTGACAGTTAGGGCTTCAACATATGAATGGAGGGGAGACACAAGGTCCATAGTGACCAGAGTGCTTTCACATTGACGGTGGAGCAGATCCTTTACAAGTGAGAGAATGTGACAGAAGGGAGAAACAAGGTTTTAAGGAGAACGTATTTCAGGGGTTGCTAATCTAGTCATCAAGTTTAAGGAAATGGTAGAAGACAAGAATGGGACCCAAACCAGGGTCAGAAGCAAAGAACCTGTGCAGTAATAAGAAGAGCCAGGGAAGCTGAGGACAGCAGCCTGGGGAGACCAGCAGAGGTAGCAGCCTATGGGGTGCGGGTTCCTTGTGGTGGCTGAACCCAAGGGGAGGGAAGGTGAAGTGTTGAACCTGTTCAGAAATGAGGGAAGGGGTCTTAGATTCAAGTTCCCCTTCAGGCTGTATGTAGCAAGCATGCAGCAGGCAATAAATATTTGGGGAGTAACTTAATAGAACTCTCCTGCTTTTAAAACTGATTTGATTAGTCTGATCCATGAAGAGTACTTTCTTTTTAAAAAAAAAAAAAGATTTTATTTATTTATTTGACAGACAGAGAGACAGCGAGAGAGGGAACACAAGCAGGGGGGGAGGGAGAGGGAGAAGCAGGCTTCCCGCAGAGCGGGGAGCCCGACGCGGGGCTCGATCCTAGGACCCTGGGATCATGACCTGAGCGGAAGGCAGACGCTTAACGACTGAGCCACCCAGGTGCCCTGAAGAGTACTTTCTTAACCCATTCATTCTTGTCAACTTCCGCTCCGGTTGCCCAGTTTATAGATAATCTAGTTCCTTTTCTTCTTTCCACTACCTTATTTTTCCCTCCTGTTCCTCCTGACTCTCCCTGAACATAAAGAGCTTTTTGAATCTTAAGAAACCAAAGAACAGAAAGGGGATGAAGCTGAGCCATCGAGTCGGATACTTTTAAGGGGAAGTGATAGCAAAAGACTTGATGCACAAACAATCACTATTGGTGATTTTCCTTTGGCTATGTAATCCTTTGGTCTGGATGGGGCGGGGGGGGGGGCATGGCAAAAAAATTCACGAACCCCCATTTCGTTTTACCCCTAGAGAAAGCACCCAAGTGGCTTACAGTTCACAACTAAAGAAATGCCATCTGGGTTCTTGGTGAAGCTGAGTTAGGACGTTATGTAATAGAGGAAGAAGCCTACAGGGAGAGCAAGGCCACTGATGCTTTGCGGCACGTACTGTCTTCCCACCGGTTGCCTGCAAAGTGTGGGCGTGCGCGCGCACGTGGACCTTCCCGCAGCTGCTGCCCCTGGGCCCCTGGGCTCCCGGAGCTGCCTTCTCCGCGTCCTTGGCTGTGTTGCTGGGAATCTGTCAGCTCGATTCTCCTCACCCCTGGGGGGGAATAGCAGGAGGAAGTTCAGTCAGGGTCAAGGAGGCTTGTTTTCGCTTCCTCATCAATGGATTTACTCTATAAACTGATTTGTCCTGCCAAATAAAAGGAAATCCTCATTGTCTTTCGCACTCGAGCTTCCCTAACGTAAGCACGATCTCAGGAGTCGTGGTGAAGTCACAAACTTATTTCAGACACGCACGTTTCGTTTGTTTTTTCCTGGAATGATGATGAGATCAAGGCCCGTATCTATGAAACAGTTCGTGAGGATTTCTGGGAAGTGTAAGGTGTTTCTCAGGGTTGATGGCCGGTGGTTTGAAGTTCTCTTACCCCTTTTCAGTTCTGTTAGGCTCCAAGGATTTAATCCTGTTGCCTGAAACCCTTACAGAAAGGATTTCGTGATAAAACGGACATGTCCAAATGGCTAAATGTAGGAAAGCCCTACTTCGTGACCTAGACTGTGTCTAGTAATATTCAATTCCTCAAGTTTTGAGGATATTAAAAATGAGCCTTCCTAAAGTTGCTGGAA